CAACGTCAACCTGTAATAGAAAAAGTGTACTCATGTGTGGATGACATTGAATGTGAGGACGGCGAATATGGCTGCAATTATCCAACAGAATTTCTGAATAGTCTTACTCCATTAGGGATGCCTCCTCATAAACTCAACTTGAAGGCTGGTGCAATAGTGATGCTTCTTCGAAATTTAGATGTGAACCGAGGGCTCTGTAACGGTACCCGACTCATTGTGAGACGTTTACATAATCACACAGTCGATTGCGAAGTTGCGACAGGATCTAACAAAGGGAACAGAACTCTTATACCAAGGACTAGTTTGATACCTTCCGATACATTTTTGCCTTTTAAACTACACAGGCGCCAGTTCCCAATTCGCCTATCATTTGGTATGACAATCAATAAATCACAAGGACAAACGTTCAATCGATTGGAACTACTACTGCCACAACCCGTTTTCACGCGTGCGTTCACTGGGATCTATCAGAGTGCAGGTTATAGAAGAAAAGAAAAACAGTAAAACAAAGAAAACCAGAAATATAGTTTTTCATGAAGTTTTGTAAATTTTGTATATACTGTAGGTAAGGTTAGCTATATTTCTGATAACTTTTCTCTGTACTCTAGATACTTTTGTAGATATCGTAGATATATTTTGAAAAAATAAACGTAGTAAAACTAAGCAGCCTTTCTACGAGCTACACCATAGACTTTCGATTGCAATTAAACCCAATTGCTAACTAACTATNAACTAACTATACATCCTTACATAAAAGGAAAATGAAAATAGTCGTACATTTTGCACGGGGACTCGCTAGTTTTTTAGAATATTACATACTGCTGATTTATTTTTGTTCAATTGTTTTTATGAAAGTAAGCATTTTAAAAGTAAAACTTTACAGTATTCGTATCATGAGATTTTTAGTTTTGTTTCATTCATATAATCTTTACATTTGGTGTGAAAAATTCAATAAAAATGAATATAAATAATAAAGTTTTAAACGATGTTCGAGTATAGTTTACTAATATAATTGTATGCTATACTATTAGACACTAAAAATTATTGGAATAATATAGATATTTTATGTCTAATCGATTAATATTGCAAGTAAAATTTTTATATCGATATGAACTTTATAGTGATGGCTGTGAAAATCATTTATTGAAAGAAAGACTTATGCGTGACCGGACAGATCGTCGCGAGACAAAACGTCGCGGACAATTCATTGCAAAAAAGTTGTCGCGTGGATAAATCATTGCATGGACAAATCGTCGCATGGACAAATCGTCGCATGGACAAAACGTTGTATGGACAAAACGTTGCAATATTGCATATTGTTACAAATGTTTATTCAGAGGATGAATTCAAATTTTGTAATGCAAATCAATGAAAATAATATAATAAATTAATTGAAAAAAATGAATTATAAAATAAAACTAAAATCGCTATCAATGTAGAGATTTAAACATCAATCGTATTTCCAAAGATTAACCAGGAATATTTTCTAATTCTTTGAATACATCATATTGAGTAGCAGTTCATTTTTGATCAATAGATATATTACAACCATTTTTCCATGCAACGATTTGTTCATGCGACATTTTGTCCGCAACGATTTGTCCGCGACGATTTGTCTCGCGACAATCTGTCCTAGCGCCCAAACTTTTATGGATCTGACGGGTGTTGATACTATGTATACATGAGCTGTTTCGATTCGTGCATGTTAGATTAGTGGTTTATTTTAACAGTATTTTGGTTGCCGAGAGTAGTTTTGTGTTAGTTTTCAATTAGGTTATAGTATAAAATAGATAATTTAGCTAGTTCAGTTTAACTCAATATACAGTAGTATATGTTATGGATTTACAAGCTAATGCTTTTTATCTTTTATATATATATCTTTTTATGAATATGAGCATACACTTGTGATGACGTTTTTTGCCTATTTGTGATTGAGACTTTATGTTACAACACATAACTGATACAACCTCTAGTGTGTTGTCTACGTTTTGGGTATATTTCATCACAAATTTTGAAAATAAATGAATTTTTAAATCTTATGATAACGTGAAAAATATACAAGTATTCTCTATGTCAAGTCGTATTGTAGAGAGATTTGAAATTTCTGAATTGAAGCATAAGATATTTGGTGTGGGTGTGGGTGTGGGTCTGTGGAAATAGCACAGCCACAGTCACAGCCACAGCCACAGCCACAGCCACACCCAAATTTTTACATTCCGAACATCCGGAAAATCGATTTTATTTTTATATCCGATTTCGAACATCCGGTTACTTGGCCGGATGTCCGGAAGAGTGCGGACGAAACGGGACAAGCCCGTTGTAAAACGGTGTATTATCAGACATAATCCATCTTTTGGCTGCAATTTCTCCACATTTGTATGTACTTTCATCATCACCTACAACAGAGGAATGCAAAAATGAACATATTGACGAGTTTTGGGATGAAGAAAGGAAAAAAGCGCTTACAAAGCAAAATTATTGGTGTTGGTGTTTTCCACTGTAGCACTGCATCATTCGTAAGCGTATAAAAATGCTGTTCTCGTTCAATGAAGTATTTGACAAATTCTTTTCAATGTTTCACCACATCTTCTCGTTCATGTCCAAGAAAATATGGCCGACTTGAATATGCTGTGAATTTTTCACCAAATTGACGTAGATCTAATTTACAACTTTCGACTGATCTGACTAATCGTTGATCGACTTTCTTCAGATTATTTAATTCAGAAAAGCGATTATCAATGAATACTGCCAAAGTTCCGACTGTAAATGTTGCTTCTGTTTTTGAACATTCTTCAAAAACAAATTGCTTTGCTTCTAATTCTAAATCTGGATAACAATCCCAAAACGAATCACCTATTTTTCCACCTCTCTCTTCAATTGTGAATTCATCAAAATATTTGCTTACTAAAATATTTGTCCATTTGTGACATGTTTTGTTGGTCATACCACCGATTGATGTTAAAAATGACTCGACGTCTCTCCACGAATGACCAAAATGACGTAAAGACATATATATAAGCACGCTGATGAAGCGAGTGTTAATTTGTTCTTTACAAGACATTGCTACTAGACTCATTTTTCTATGAAGAATTCGAAAATCATATTGGTGAGAGAGAAAAGTGGAAGGGAAAGGAAATAGACGTTGTTTGTTGAAAAGCAATTTTTTTGCTGATTTTTAGACCCTCTTAGTATCTTGCGTTTTTCTCCACGAATGTGTTGTCAAATGAAAAAAACTAAGTAGATATTCGTGATCAGCGTGAAAAGGGGAATCTCCTAATGTATGTTTAAGCAAAAACGAAGAGGTGCTGTAATTTTGAATTACCCTCACCTTACGTAATAGGATTTTTTGGATAAATATGTGACATCATATTAATAAGGTTTGTCTCTCATTTGGAGTATGGCTGAGATGCTTTTTTTAATTGGTGTAGAAATTTTAAAGAGGTACATGAACTTTCAATAAATGTACGATCTTTGAATAATTATAGTAATGTTGGAAGCAGCTATGCAATAATCAAGTAGCTATGAATTCATTAAGTAGCTGTGGGTCTTTTTTAAAAAGTTTGTTAACGCAGCCCCGTTGGGGCTAAAATGTGGAACTCACATATATTCCTTAGGCTTACTAAAATAGTTCAAAATAGTCCATCTAAAAAATCTACCTTGATTTCCAAAATCTATAATCAGGTCATTCCCTTGGGGAAATCTTTGACGTTTCAGTCCCGGATCCTTGACAAATATGATCAGGATCCTGAAAAGATTCGCTATTCTTTCCTGAGGAAATGACTAAATCCTGACAGAAGTCTGGAGCCACAGAATTTTAGGATCCTAGCAGGATTCAAAACAAGATTATCAAAGATCCTGACAAGTTTACCAGTGTTTTTTAAACCAGGATTGAGTCAGGAAATCGATGATTCCTGAAAAAAGTGTGTAGCCACGACACTATAGGATCTTGCCAGGATTTCAATAATTCTAATTTAGAAAAAAAGATTTCTGATAATATCTTTGAGGATTGTATTATATTTTCTAGAAGATGTTATCAAATATCTTGGCAGAATCTTATTAGGATTGGACTAGGTTTTGTTCAGGATGTTATTAGTTTCTTGGCAGGATTGGTGCAGGATTTTCTAAATAGAATATACGAGAAATGAATGCATAGAGGATTGATCTCTAGACCTTCAATTTACATACCGATTAGCTTATCCAGCTAGATGCACCATGTCATCCTATAGCACTTCAGCACTCAATATCTTAACTCTGCCATTAATATAAACTTCTATTTGAATTTTATGTGAATATAAATTATTTAAAACAATTCTGAAAATATAATATTATTTCTCATCTTTAATTTAGTTTGTCACATTTGACTGTTTTTTTAACTTAAATTCAATGCTAAAAAATATTTTGAAGTCTGTTTTCGATTATTATTAAAACTATAATCAATTTTAATAGAAAGATCTGCTGCTCGCTCAAAGTATCTATTCAACGAAAAAAAATTCATGATGAATAAATTTAAATTAATACTATTATTTAATGATTTTCAATATTTTGTTTTTTCTTCTGGCGAGATAAAGACAAAAAGTCACTGCTGCAGTCTGAACCTCAAAACAACTTATATTGAAGCTTCAAAAAGATTTTAAAACTTTTTTCTATGATTTTTAGGGTTCATGCTATTTATTTATGAAAAGAGCCAATTAAGGTTCTTTTATTTTCTTATCAAGATCCTGATCATTCGTATATTTTTTAAAAAGCATTCTAAATGCCGGTTCCCGAACAGTATCGCTCGGAAACTTGATCGAGGTTTGATAGGAGTTCTAATTTGAATATTTCGAGAAATCTGGCTTTATTCTTGTTATGATCCTTCACTGATATGACTATAAATCTTGGTACAATTCTTGTATCAGGATTCCAAACAGATGTTCACTCAACCCTGACCTACCCTTGACGAAATTCCTTTTTTATTATTTTTGTCAGAATCCTGGATAGGATTAACAGACATATCCGAACAGGAACTTCGACAAATCCTGAATAGAATCCTGAATTAAACCTTGCAGGATCATCGAGATTTATGATTCAGAAATATCCTTGAAGGTTGTCTCAAGAAATATACAGACATGAGTGGATGAAACAGTCACCTGTAAAGATCTTTACCAAATCCTTACATGTTCCTATCAAGACTCTGAGTAGAATTGGCATCATCTTGTGAGGTTAGGAAAAACATATTCTTGAAAAGTTCTGAGCAAGATCCTGATTGAAATTTTTGCAGGAACAGTCAGTTTCGTATGCGGGCTGGGCCTGTTATTTTCTTGTCAAGATCCTCGTCTGATGTAGTCGTTGCTCCTGACAAGATCCTGATAGGATAATTTGATCGAGATTCTTACGAAAATCTGATCAAGCCTTTCTACAACCCTCTCTCATAATTTTGATAGGATCCTATACAGGATCTTGCGTAAATCTTGATAGGATCCTGAACTATCGGCTCAGAAAAAATATCTCGGCAGGAACTTGAAGAAATTCTGAATATGATCTTGTTTCACATTGACAAATCCTGGAAACAGAATCCTTGAGATTCAGAACCCGAAAAGATCCTTTCACGGCTTCGCAAGGAATAAACAGGATTGAGACTAGGATCTCTTTCTCTATTTTATCAAATCCATTCCGATGCCAGCAACTGTTTATTATTTAGTATTCAATTTTATTTCATTTCTCTCTAACTAGGTATCCGGTGACCAATAATGAATGGCCGCACTTTGCATTTCGTATTTAAATCACTAAATACGTTTTATTTTTAAAAAGCAAAGTGTGCCATAGTATGTAGCGTGAAAAGCTTCACAATTTGCATGGAAAACGTATTTTATAAATGCACGTTTTGTTTTCAAATGAATAAAATTCTGTGAGATTAACTTTTGACGCTACGAGAAGGATCGTTTTCTTGGTGCATGCCAAATCTCTGTTTCTTATTTTTTTTGGCTAAAGAGCAATATCGACGGTTATAATTAATGGTCGATTTTTAGTCCAATAGACATATTTCAGTTACAAGTGTCCACTGATTCTGACATCAGCTCTGCAGGCACACGCGAGGTTTTTGATAAAGAATCACAATTGTGTTGGTATGGGTGTCGGTGTGAGTATTCCTGTAACTTATAGTTGCACCCTGGCACCCACACCCACAGCCTCACCCTCAAGGGTGGTACGTATCAGTAATACGTATTGCCCAATCTTAAGAAAACATTATTGTTGCTTTTCATC